TCCGGCTCAAATATCATCCAGGATCAGCGATGGTCATCCGTCAGTACTTAAAAGAGGCCCTTAAAAATCCTAGAAACTATTTTTGCCACAAATACATCTTGGACGATGCAGAAGATTTAATTAATTAATAGAATAGATCCGATGACATGATGATCAGGATAGTCAGGAGATAAATCAATTTGATAATATATAACCAGGACGATATGTTGATCCTCCTAGACGATTAGAAGAAAATATTATGTATTTCATCTGCACAATTTAGAAAAAAATCAAGTATATCGCAACTATCTATAATAATACGAGATCATCCATGAGAGCGATACTGATTGAAAATTTTAACTATAAAGTGGTATGATTGTTATTGTATGATTATAGTATGATCACAGGATGATCTGTAAAGATCGTTCGGAGATTATTATGAAAATTGAATATTAAAATCTTGTCTAAATATCAATATGGGATATTATTTTCAAGATCATAAAGGACGTTTCTGGATGATCCAAATCGTCCAGTACAATTATGTTCAAAACTTGAACTCTATGGTTTAACTAGATCTCACTCCTCTTGAGTGTATGTGTGGATGGATACCAAGCAAGCATACTCCTACTAAGGATGACTAAAAAATGATAAAATTACATCATTAAATATTACATCCCTTTTAATAACACATAATTATACCATCTTGAGCTCTGATTCTTTTTAGATTTAAATATTAAATAAATGTAGTATACACCAAATATATATGAATGAAATTACTATGATGATTATTAAATATGTTGTTATGATAATCAATGAAAACTCAGAACTCGAGTCTGCAACACTACCTTGGATTGCCCAGGGACTTTTACCAGACCACTGCTTAACACTAGACTTCCTTGCGGCGACTATCTGATACCGTAGACTCTCCAGAACTGCCTAACTCTATGACTTCGCGAAGCACAATTGATGCCCGGACTTCAATAACCCACCTATGAGCCAGTCTTTTTGCAGGTCAACCACTGATGTCCGGAATTCTCGTCGAGACACAACATAATTTGAACTTTATCAGGCCATCTCTGTGTCGGACTTTTGCCCAACCTAGCGCCTGCGCCGGACTTTTCTGTACCACCAACTGACGCATGGATTTTCACCGGACCATTTCCTACACTCGACAATCGCTTATGGACCTACGCAACTGACACCAGGACTTTCACCATACAACAAGTCGACATAATCTACTCGCCTAAACCTCGTTTGACTAGATTTACAACATACTGATTGATTATTTGTAAGTATGATCGCCTCCATATGATGATTCAGTTATTAATATACTAAAAATACTGCGTGAATTCATATTTAAACTGGCGTGCCCCTATTTTCCCTTATTTAGGATTTTTCCCCTTTCACATAAAAATCTTATGTTTCATGTTTTTGTGTGCTGGATATTGTACAACGCTAGAGCGTAAATATATTTGCTCAACTGCTACGTCAATTCAAGCCATAACAATCTCATTTCTTATATCAATAATTTTAAATTTATATAACTATCTTTGATTACTTATTTATTTAATAATCTGGAAGATAAAGCTTAACGTAATATATACGACGAATATTATATACCCCATTATTATTATATGCACAAAAATTTTGATTATTAATGACCAAACAACGCCAAGAAATAATGAAAAAATATGTGATACAGACGATTTCATAAGAAATCCGGTGCAGGTTCGTATATTCTGTTACCGAACACGTACGAGAAACGTTTTTCGTTCCTTTCCATTGTTTGGCGGTTTCTTCGGATTTTTTCTCTTTGTCTATACTTGATTTTAAATTTCATTTTTTCTATAATTTACTTATTGAACTCAGGGATTAATATTATGTTTCATGAGTAGCAAGCGCATCTTCGTATTTTAAACCTCTCGATACTTCTCGTTCTCCTCAAAATCTATCTGTTTTTTATATCCGGCTTTAGAGCTTTGGGTGGCTCAGAGCTGATGGGTTTGGGGCCAGTCTTCTTGAATTCTGTATTGGGCTTTGGCTTGAATCTCCGATGACGGCCTCTTGGTCGATATTCTTCTATCATTAATCATTACCGGATGTAAAGTTTATTTGCTATATGTTTGTTCACGATGACGATTGGCATCTGGGCGGTAGGCTTGAATTGTCCTTTTATAGGGATCAAATGTTGAGCCTCCGATGAAATGCAAGCTGAGTTGTTGATCTTTTAATGGTTTTTTAGTTTTTTTTTTTTCTTGGGGGTTTTAGTCTTTGAATGCGGTGCTTTAAGTCTAGATGTTATTTTAGTAAAAACTTTGTTTGCCAAGCCGGATTAGCTGTTTGTGGGGATACGAAAAAGTTTACCATTAATTGATTGTTGGATCCAGGTGAAAATAGTATTTCAAATTAGAAGGCGGGTTCGAAATGGCTTTAAGCAAAATTAGAATGGGATAAATTTATTGTAATGAGACATATTATGTAGTAGAATATTAACAAATGAATTTTTATACTACTGGTGGAGAGATTGCTTATTTCGAAGCTTTATTGCGTTTCCTATGTTTCTTTCTTTGATAATAGCGTTTATTGTCTTAATTGCTGATAATCATATATTTGTAATAGGAATCTTCTGATTGTGGACGATTAGATAATGCCGAATTGCTATGTGCTGTGGATTTGATCTAGTACATCCATCAAAATACCCATTACTTTTCAATTTAGCACTTCTGGATGTTATTTCTCCCCCCTTTTGTTGTGTTCCAAAGCAGGAACCTCATCAGACATCTGAATGAGCCATAGATTTGCACGAAACTTGTATAAAAGTATTTATCCTGAAATTCCGATGGTTGAAGAATCTGACTATATAAGGGTAATGTTCATGCAATACTTACAATACTTATTGATTTCTCTATAATGATAGATTTTGATTTATTGGTTTCTCTTTTAAGAGTATTTTTTTAATTAACCTTTTATATGGTACTAGAGTAGCCATGGTTACATCTTTTTTTCAGAATATATCTTCCATGTATAGATTTCATTGTTTCAAACTGCTACTCCAGACCGGACCTAATGCTTGGGGAAAGCTGTCGTTATTTTTGGTTTTAAGATCAATATTTTGTATAACAATGTAAGCAAAAAGTATGCAGTCAAGGATTTATGGAGTTCTTAAATGTAAACGTGGGATAAATAGATTATTTTAAGAGTTTGATATTGTGATATGCAAAAATCTATATTGAAAGAATTAAAAAAAAATGCATATCATGTCATAACATTGGCACAGATGGTTTCTAAAGGAAATGTGTTTTTGTACTATCTTTTTTTGATAAAAATTGGGAAAATAGTTATAATGTTGTCTTCTAAATTTAAATTAGTTAGTCTCGCACTTTAGATACTTCATTTATTGAAAAGATTTTTTTTTTGGTGCAACATAAAATTTAATAATTTTATTTTGAATGCTTAAATAGCATCTTACATGTGGTAAAGATGAATCATCAAGTCTTTCTTGACACTTGCATCGATGTAGGACAGCATGTGCTAAGTATGCCTTTTTTATCACTAAATTAGTTTTTAATAAATCTAATGATAATGATGATATATTTCATGGAGTAATTCATAAATAAAAGTATTTGCTTTTCATTTTATTTAAATTGTGATTTTTTTACGTGGAAAATACTATTAATTTTTGTTTATTTGCAGGTTTATTGATGATTAGATTTCTTTTTTGATATTGCTACTAGATAAGGTTATCCACCTCTTATATTTGATTTTTCACCCATCAAACTTTTATTTTGTGTTCATCAAGTTTGGTTAATCATGCAACTAATTCTTTATTTTCTCATTGATGGTCATGAGCAGGCAATATGCAATGCAATTAGAAGCTCAACAAGGGCAATATTTGACCAATACGTTGGGAAGTATTGCATTGAGTCCATTGAATTTGATAATCTTACCCTTGGAAGTTTTCCACCAATAATTCATGGTAGGTCTTCCCCCAAACCTCATCCTAGTCTTTTGCAAGGATTGAAATAATTCTATCTCAGGAAAGGGGTCTAGTTGTACGCTAAGCTTGATGCCCATAGCATGTTAAACTTTGTGAGCTTTATGATATTAGATACTTGCATCCAATTGATGTATGGCAAGAACCACAACCTCAACCACACAAATTTTATTTGCAGTATTGTAAGGTATTAACGTTTATGTGGTTTAAATGATTATCTTTGGCTATTTATAAGCTTTCTTTTCATGTGCGATCATAATATTACATTGAAACACAAAGTTCATTTTAATTTAATTATTAGAATAAACTACTCAATTGTTTGGAGGCATGTGCATGGAATGGACTCCATTCTCTCAAGAAGTATACAACGAAGAAATCTAGTATGCCAATGGATGCTAAGATTTATGTGATTTGGCCATCGCCTACATCACGAAGAAGTCAATCAACTATTGAAATGTCTAAATGTGTACAAACATACATGTAATTAGACATTGTTCTTTCACAAAACCAAGTATAGATAATATCATATAAAGAAAAACCTCAAATTTCCCTTATCAAACTAACAAGAAAACATCCTAGTATTTTGAAAAATCACAAGAACAACAAAGATGGATAAAAAACACAAAATATCAAAAGATATCCACCTCAATGCATCTATAACAAGAAAGACACAGCGTAAATGCTAGTCTATATATTGTATGTCAGATATCAAGAGAATCATACACTATAATCCATAGTTGCTTCACACATTCAAAATAAGGTCTCCCTAGTGATATTGTCCTTGCTTTAAATATTACATTTGGTGAAACTTGGCACTCGGGTTTCTCTTTAGGAGTTTTTTGAGTATGAATTCATCCATTTCAATTTTTAGGTGCGCCTAAGTAGGAATTGGTGTTCATCTTTTTATGAAACAGAGAAGTGAATGTTTGTTTGTTATCAGACCTCATCCCACTATTTAGGGGGCGGCAGAGCAGTGGATTATATATCATGATATGAAGGCTTTATTTGCTAATGCATTTGTTTTTTTATAAACCTTCCATATGGCAAATGCAATTTGTGTTGTGTGAACAGTATGTTGCAGTGTAGCTTATTCATCTCTATGATGGTGATGCCGATTTTATTTCGTCAGGTTAGTGGATTATAGTACAACATAACGAAGAGAACACAATTCGTAAAAACTAGGAACTTTAGAATATTAATCCTTCAGATCTCTTTGAAGCATATTTTAATATGCAGTATTCAACATGCAAATTTGATCAATGGCTGTGCATTGCCTTTTCATATCTTTTTCTTAGAGCTTGTCTGGGCCGATACAGTTAATCGGGCTGAGTTATAATTTTCACTTATTACCCGTTTCATTGATGAGAAAGTTCAATCTGATTTCTGATTCTAACAGGAGTTAAAGTGATAGAGACTCAAGAAAATGAACTACTTATTGAGCCAAGGGTTCGATGGGCAGGTAATTGCAATGTCAGTGTGGCTCTAAAACTATTTTCCTTTAAATTCACCGTGCAGGTAGGCTACTAAACAATATGACAACAGAGTTTGTTTACTTCCAAAAATGGAAAAAAAAGAGTAATCCATACTTGAATCGTTTTTTTTTTTATGTAGTTGTTGGATTTACAAATATTCTTGGCACCTCGCGTTACTCTAAAGCCCTTAGTTCCAAGTTTTCCATGCTTTTCAAGCATAACTGTTTCTTTGGTGGAGAAGGTAATTATATTCAGTGATTTTTTCTCAAGTGAACTTTTATGAGATTTTATCTCAAGGATCATTTACTGTTCTCCTTCTTGGCCTGCAGCCTTTTGTTGACTTCGGACTCAAACTACTTGGTGTTGACATCATGGCTATTCCTGTATTATATCGCTTTGTTCAGGTCTTCAAAGTTCTCTTATTCAGCATGAATCTGGGAAACACTTAGGCTTCATTTGGGATGGCTTTCGTCCTACTTCTTAAAGTGTTTTTTTAGTACAAAAATTAAAATTTATGTACTAGAAAACTGCTTTAAGAAGCAGTAAGAAAGCCATACCAAACGAAGCCTTAGTCTTCATTTAACTTTGGCATGATTGTTTTATTATACTTTAAAATTGGATTGAAACTAACTATAATCTATATGAAATTTTCTTTAAGGATCATATTGCTTCTGAAATTTCAAATCTCTACCATTGGCCTAATGATTTGGAGATAAAAATTCTGGATAATGCTAGGTAATTCTCAGCATCTAGAGTTAGGTTGAGTTTTATTTCCTGCCTTTTTGTTCATGATGATTAACTCTTGTGTCTTCAGCTTTGTATGATTTTTTTTAGTAGATGAACATAATTAAATCTGTATTCTATCCTTGTTCTTTTGTCTGAAAAATGTTTTTACTTCGACTACTAAATGAATCAAATTGTTTGGGATGTTACAAGCTGCATGCTGATGTTTATTTTTTACTACAATCAGTTGTCAACTTATTGCGTGATTATTTTCTGCTTTGCTTTTTCAGCGGTGCCACCAAGAAACCTGTTGGAATATTACATGTCAAGGTTGTACGTGCACTCAACCTCTTGAAGATGGATATCCTTGGTAAATCTGATCCCTATGTGAAATTGAGTTTGAGTGGTGAAAGACTGCCATCCAAGAAAACTTCAGTGAAGATGAGCAATCTTAATCCTGAATGGAATGAAAATTTCAAGCTTATTGTGAAGGATCCTCAAACCCAAGTTCTCCAGCTACGTTTGTATGACTGGGAGAAGGTTTAGCCACCTGTTTACCCTTTTATCTTTTCTAACCACACAAAATTTTCACATTTCACGGTAAAATGTTTAATTGATAGGTTATCAATGTCAATTTTGTGTTTGATAACTTAAAATGCTTTATTGTATCATGCAGGTCAAAGCCCATGATAAATTGGGCATGCAGGTTGTGTCGCTGAATTCACTTACCCCTTACGAGATGAAAGAATTCACTCTTGATCTTCTCAAGAACTTGAACCCCAATGATCCGCATAACAAAAAAAATAGAGGAAAGGTTGTGGTGGAACTGACATTTGAACCATTTAGAGAAGAATTTGACAAGTTCAGCGGCATTTTAGACGGCGAAGGGAAGCTCAAAAGCCTGGGAAGCGCTTCTTCTCAAAGTTCATCCGGTGGGGGTCTTCTTTCTGTAACTATCGAAAGTGCAGAAGATGTTGAAGGAAAGCATCACAACAATCCCTATGCAGTAGTTCTCTTCAACGGAGAACGCAAAAAGACTAAGGTGAAATTCATCTTATTGAAAATATTGTACTTAATGAGCTTTTAGATGCTATTTTCTTAGTTATAATGTCTCCTATGATATATAATTTTCCATGAAACTAATTGTCTTTTTTGTTTAAAATTCATCTTTCATCATTTAACATTAGGTAATCAAGAAAAGTAGAGATCCACGGTGGAATGAAGGGTTCCAGTTCATGTTAGAAGAACCACCAGTTAACGAAGTGATTCATATTGAAGTTATAAGCAAAAGGAGACGTTTCAGCTGGCATGCTAAGGTGAGAAAGAATGACAAAATGAAACTTTACTTTTCCCTTCATGTTTTTCCATCCTGTTTTCTTATAGTAAACATGAATACTTTATTGACACTGCAGGAATCTCTGGGCCATGTCGATCTTAACCTCGCGGATGTCGTGAATAATGGACGCATTAATGATAGATTTAATCTCATAAACTCCAAGAATGGAGTAATTCACATTGAGCTCAGATGGAGCACCGTTTGAAGCATCCCTATCATCTTCTTTTCAGTAGAATTCATTGATTTAGGCTTCGTTTGGGACGACGGCTTTCTTACTGTTTCTTAAAACAACTTTCTAATACAAAAAAAAAAAAATGTTGTGCTAAGCTACTTTAAAAAACAGTAAGAAAGTCATCCCTAAGGAAGCTTTATTTTAGTTGCTAACCTTGCTGCTTATGTCGTAAGCTGCAGTAAAGGCTTGATTCAGGCTTCCTTTGGGACAATCTTTTTAATGCTTTCTAAAATAGCTTTTTAGTACAAAAATTTTTGAACTCAAAATTTTTATACTAGAAATCTGCTATAGAAAGCACCAACGAAGCCGTCCCAAACGAAGCCTCAGATGCTCCTCCAAAACAGTTTTAGAAAGAGTGGCAAATAAGTGTCTTGAAGCTAAAGCTAAAGGGTTGGGATGAATCTGATGAAGATGCTGGGTGCAAATTTGGAATCTGTTCCTTGTGCAAATGATAGATTATCTTAGTTCTTTAATTGTTTCATCAAAATCGCCTTTTTAGGTGGCTGTATATGATTATTATGGGCAAAGGGTGTATCAACAAAGGTAACAACACATTGTATATGGGAATATGTCACCAATTTTCCGGCTTAAGTATCAAAGACTTTGTTTGTGATGGCGTTCTTATTACTTCTTAAAGCAGTTTTTTAGTACAAAAGTTTTAATTTTTTAAATAAAGATTTTACCCTTTTAGATGAATTTATGTTCATGGTTTGTGGTTTCTTATGAGTTCGAGTTTTTATGATTATCTATTCTGATTTCTTAAGAGAAAACTTTTGATTAAGAGTAATTTTTAGGGTTTGCAATAATTAGTTTTGATATTTTTTCGTGCAATCGAATTTGACACACGAAACACCTCATGATATCTCTAATATATAATTGTAAGTCCATATCTTGGTTGTATGACTCAATTACATTGTATTCATCAAAATATTTGACTTTGTATGAACGTAAAGCCTTCGAAGTCATTTATAATGACTATTTGGGTTTGATCCATCTTGTGTATTGGGGGCAACACAAGCCCCCTTAATAGGATCTCTTCTAATTAGTAGGTTTTTAAGTCCCATATATAGGACCCCACCCCCCAAATCAAATATTGGAGTCACATGAGCTTCACCTAAGAAACTCTATCATGTATCGAAAGCTCCTTATTCTAACCTAATCTCTACCATTGAGCTAACTTGTTTATATTGCATTTGCGGCAACTTTCTTACTTATTTTTAAAATATTATTTTTTGTGCAAAATTTTTTATTTTCGTACTAAAAAACTATTTTAAAAAGCATCAATAAAGCCATCCCAAACAAAGCCTTAGACTTTGGCTTTGTTTGAGATGACTTTTTTATTGCTTCTTAAACCAGCTTTCTAGTACAAAAATTAAAATTTTTGTACTAAAAAACTATTGTAAGTAGTTAAAAAACCGTCCCAAATGAAATTATTGTTTAAGATAGCTTTTGGTCGTTATTTTTTTCAATTATTTTAAAAAAATTATAATATAAAATTATTTTAAAAATTGATACGGCATCACAAAATTAGCTTGATCGGGCACGAATCTCGAGGCAAAAGCTAGTTGGAAACTACAAAAATTAATTCCGAGAGCACCCCAACTCCGATTTCAGCAAGCTTATAGTCGAACTGAGCGTCTCGGAAATACGAACTCAACGACACCAAGATCAACCCAATCCGAGCCCAAATGGGTCCAAATCATGGATCCAAAGCGCTGTTGGAAGGTTCAAACAGCAATTTGAGTTACCAAACGGTCTCCGATTTTGACGAGCTTATACTCGAATCGAACGGCTCGACAACGGACTCCGATTTTGACGAGCTTATACTCGAATCGAACGGCTCGACGAGACGAGTCCAACGAGCCCAAGATCACAGAATTCGGACATTACTAAGGCCTTCAAATGTCCAATGAACGGTGCATGATTGTAGGATTCAATATCGGCCGTCCATTTGACCCCTCCCTATTCGCCCCTGATCTCACACCTATTTACGGGCCATGCCACTCTAGAAAATCTATAAATATAGCCCTCATTTCTCACAAGAGAGGATCCAAGCAAGAGAGAGAAGAGGAGAAGAGAAGGAAGGAGTTCCTTCTCGACAGCCGCATTCAGTATGGGCGCACTAGGGGCATAGGCGGATCCACATTGGCCTAAGGGTGGGCAAATGCCCACCCTCAAAAAAATTTTTTTTAATATTTAGAGGGAATTTTTTAAAATATTTTGGGTATTTTGCACATTTTGCCCCCTCTAAAACAATTTTTTTGTTCTAATTTTATCAATCCTAAGCATCTTTGTCCATCCCCAAAAAAAAATTTTTTTTTTGCCCACCCTAAAAAAAGGAGCTGGATCCGCCCCTGAAGTCTAGGGGCACGTGCCCCCACCGGCCTATGATCCTTTATCGTAAATTGAATCATCTAATTTATAAAAATTGAATATTTTCTTTGTATATATTTATAGCAGAAGGCTCTTCAACAAATATATCTTAATTTTTTTAATATAATTATCTGAAAAAAGAAATAACTCCTTGTTATTTATGCATTACTTATAGTAAGTCATTCAAAACTTCAATGCCCATTATTTTTCAGCTAATTAATTATTAAATCCTACTAAAGTATATAAGAAATTTTAGTGTAAAATTTTTATATATGACACAAATTTACAAGTAATAACTTATATTTTGAATGTTCAAATATTATTTTATTATTAAATAAAATGATAAAAGCAATCATGTGAAAAAAATTAAGAACATATTAAAAATTATAAATTATGCTCCTAATAATTTTTTTTTGCTCCGCCCCTGGCAAGCATAATTCATCCAAGAGTAAATCATGCCATCAAATAGGCCAAGGGTTCATGGTAAATGATTTTTTTTCTTATGATTGTGAGAATATTTCATATATTTTTAATTTTTAATTTTTTTTTTAATTATTAGAAAATTAGATTTGAAGAATTTAAGAAATATTTATGCTGTGTGCATAATTCACCAAAATGTTAAGATGACTTTAAACATTTTACCAACACTGTTATTGTTGCTTTTGAGATATATTTTTTTAAAATTTAATTTAGTTAAAACTTATAAAAATTGTGAAATCTTTATTTTTAGTAAACTTTCATCATGTAATTTTAAGTATATTGTAACTTTAATCATTCTACACATATTGACATGAATATATTAAATTACACCAGATATTTTATATTTTAGGAGATATTTCCTAATTTGAAAATTTTAGAAAAATATGAAAATTAGATAAATAATTATTAAAATCTCATAATATCAATGTATGATATGCATACTTATTACAATGGTTATTTATAAGATAAAAAAGAGCACACTGCATTTTTTATGAATTTCACTAATTTTAGTTCCTATGCAAATTTTACATGCATTAATGTGATACAAAGAGCCGAACATTGAGTATAATATCACTTATTTACTATATTATATATACCGTGAAAATGTGTATGTAAGAAAGGCTAACTAGAAATAATTTGATTGATTCACATTGACTGGAGATATGTTATCATATACATGAGGGTGGGTAGACATGCATCCTTTTAAAATAAGATTTATGGTGTAATGTTAAATGATATGAAAAAAGAGACAGAAGAAGATATATTGATATGATATGATATAATATGCCGATGGATATGAAGTGATGACTTCTGATATAAAAGCTGTCTAACCTAAATGACTTATGGTATGTCTGATTATTGAAAAAATGACTTATATGAATGAGACTGATTTCATAGGATTGGCCTACATGACTGATTTTGTAGGGTTTTCTTATAGTGCTTGTAAATAAATGCATATATTAGGAATATATATATATATATAATTTATATGACATGCATACATATCATGCACTATACGACATTCATGTGAATATGATAGGTATACAGATTTTCTAAATTGAGATAGATAAAAACTGTTCTATAACTAATAAGTATATAAATGATAGAGTTTACTGACCCCTTGTGTATTATTATTGATTATTGATCTTTGTTCTTAAGATATATAATTGTACTTATATTTATTAATCATATGATATGTCATTATTTAATTGATTGTTACATACTTCTATAATTATATATTAATACTCATAGAGATTGAATGATTAAATGCATATTATTTATATTTCCTTGTGTTGATTTTAGTTATATGTTATGGTAACCTACTGAATTGTTAACTCATTATGCGATTTTACATATTTTTAGGAAGGGGTTATGATCTAATGTACTGAGGAATTATTTAGGATTCAAGCTTTATATATATTTTTGCATTTTTATTTAATTTTATATTTAAGTAATTAAAGTCATCACTCTTGCACGTTGGCACAATAATGACTCCTTATAACTCCCAATGTAAATCATATGAAACATAAGAGGATATCACCACTAACCATATTATTTAAAGGTAAATCAATTAACCCATCATCCTGTATAGGTATAAATCAATCTTCAGCCAACCTCACTAATAATCCAACCTTTTTTGTTCTTAAACAAATAATATTCTAAAAGTAATAATAACTAGCTATTACTCGTCCACATACTCATATTCATGCACAATATTTGCATTAACAATATAACCATATCAAAATGTAATAAATCATAATATATATTATTCCTATTCAAATAGTACAAAATGCAATAGTTAACATTTTAACTAGTAAAAATATTTAATCATCTAGTCAAACAGGTTATAATATTAAGTACTATAATATATCAGAAGTTATATTGTAGAAATTCACTAAATTGGGAGAAAAAACAATAAATATTGATCTATTACTAAAATTGCCTTGATCGAGCATGAATCTTGAGGGATGTCCTAGTTGAAAACTTTTGAAATTAAATTTGGGACCATCTAAGCTTCAATTACATAAAATATATAGTTAAAATGAATGTCTAAAAGTGATAAACCTAACAACATCAAAATCAGTCCAATCTGAGCCCAAATGAGTCCAAATCAAGGGACCGAAGTATATTAGGAAGGTTTAAAATATAAATTGGATGATCAAATGATATTTAAATATAACATGCTTGTAATCGAACTAGCAGCTCGATGAGACGAATCCAACGAGCCCAATATTGCTTAATTCATACATCATTTGGGCATATAAATACTTGATAAATGTTCTTTGATCAAGGGGATCATTATGGGCCGTCTATGGAACACTTCGATTTTTCCCCAGAAATTCTTCATATTTAGAGGGCATGCTACTCTATAAAATCTATAAATAGGCCCCCACTTCCCACATGGTAGGGGCTTGGACATTTGCATGCTTGCATCCTTTGACTGGAGATTAGAAAGAGCTATGAGGCTTCAAGGATCCTAGAGTTCTACCTAATTACCACCACCGACGAATTTTCCTCGACCATTGTCAGACCATCGCGCCAACCATCACTGGACCACCACCCCATCCGTTGACTGTTGCCGGACCGCTGCACATCCATCGACAGTTGTCAGACCATCATCCTTCTGCCTATGATTATCCCTCTGACCATTGTGGATCGCCAACTATTGTCATCCGACCATCGTCTACGGTCCCTCTTACCACCATCGATTGACTATGATCTCTCTAACCTCCATCATTCATCGATTGATGTCCCATCGACCACCGTTGCCCGATGACTAAGGACCCTCTGACCTCCGTCGCCCGACAACTGAGGACCCTCCGACCTCCATCGTCCACCGACTATGGTCCCTTTGAACTTGGCCGTCAACTATAGTCCCTTTATCGCCCGTCGACTACCGTCCTACTGACCATTATTACCAGCCGGCTATGATCCCTCCGACCAATGCTATTCGTCAACTACGATCCATTCGACCTCAATCGCAAGGTAACTACAATCCCTCCAATCTTGATTGCTGACCAACTATGATCTCTCCGATCATCATCACTTGATAGTCCCTCCGACCACCGTCTCTTGACTATGATCCTACTGATCAAATGAACAAGCCAATTTTCTCTTGAAAATAACTCTCAACCGTAACTATGTAATATGCTCTATATGATGTACATTGAGCAAAGGCTTCTTCCCGAGGAAATGACACCATTTGTAATCAGCTACAAAAACTAATGAATTCTTTTCAACGGGCCATACCTTGTGGTTTTTTTCCTTTCAGAATTTTCCATGTAAAAATTTTGATGTCTCTTATGACTCTTACACCCCCTCTCTTTATTTATTTGTGTGATAGATCTTCATTCAAAGATAAGACATTAGACTCTACCTCTCTACCACTGTGAATATTCCAGGACGTAACAAATATCATTTTAGACACAAGAATAAATCCCGAAATAAAAATGCTTGAAAACAAGAGAAGGTTAGAAGTTGCCTAAACGATTTGAAGAAATCTCATAGAAGCTGTGAAATAAATTGACTACCACAAGCTCATTTTCTCTTTCCTCCCTTCACTTCCCTTCTCCCCCCTCTTCCCTTCCATTCTGAGCAAGTCAAATGAAAGAGGGATAATTTTTTTTTTTTCCAGTGTCTAGTGCTCCGACGCTCTAATCTGCTGCTGCTTGCTAATTCCATTGTTATTGTACAACAAGGAGCATCGGCGCCACCACGTCGAATTCTGGCACCCCAGCACTGCATCCCCTAGAGCCGCGACTCTCAAAATCCAAGCGCTACAGTGCCATAGTTCAAAAATTTCAAAATTTTTGAATAAGTATTTTTAAAAACTCTGGATTGTTATAACATCGTCTACATGGACACTATTTTTGGCCAATCTCTTAAAATAAAATTTAAATAAGAAAACCTCAAAGAAAAAATAAATTTAGAGTCATCCCTGATTGGCCCTCTATGGGGCTACTTAAGCTACCACTCTAGTGACTTTATTAAAATTTTAATTTGTTATATATATATATATATATATAATTCTTGTGTTGCATCATGCATGTGAGTGGAGCACTAAGACATAAATTTAAATATATTAGACTTGTACTTTACAACTTATCAAATATTCTTTGAAAACTAAATATTATTATTACTTTTTTATTATATAATATAAATGAGAAAATAATAAAAATAATTCATTGACTATTTATAAAAAATAAAAAATGATTCTCAACTATATTAAAAGATTATTTTCATCTCAAAGTCTTTAAAAATGAATCAAAATAGTCTCATGATAAACAAATTATTTTGTGTAGTTACCCAACGGTTCAGAAACAAATCAAAACGTGCCATATCACCGGATACAGAGCAGTACACAACAAATAAATGATGTGACATGTTCTTATTCGTCTTTGAACGTCATTCAGTGGAACTTTTATTTGGTCCGGTGAACGTACGTAGAGCTAAGTTCGGCTGGCATTAAGATCGCAGGCACAAAACGAGAAATACCGAGCAATACCAACAATAACGAGAAATACCATTATGTGAAGACAAAATACCAAGTAATACCGAGTAATCCCAAAAAAATACCGAGTTTTTTCTAAAAAACTCGATATTTTTTGGGATTACTTGGTATTGATCTTCACATAGCGGTATTCCTCGTTATTACAAAACAATACCTAACAATACAGACCAAATACCGAGCAAAAACCGAGTAACAATCCTCTGACCGAACGTAGAGCTACGTCCGATCAGAGGACGTAATAAAAGTTCCATTCAGTGACCACACATAATAAATTTTCCTCATGATGAAACTATTTTGATTCTATTTTAAAGAGTTCAAGAATCAAAATGATCTTTTAACATTGTTGAAGATTATTTTAGTATTTTATAAAAAAACTAACAGATCATTTTGATATTTTTTTCTATTTTCAATAAACAATCGGCCGCATCAAACTACTATTCGATATATTCCAATAAACATTTTAATAACTTTTAAAATTTTTATTAACTGAATTATTTTACATAAATAAATAAATAAAAATTTTATATCATGAATATGACTAAATATAATTAATATTTTTTTATTGTGATAATAAATAGTGTTAGGTATAGTAGGACAGTGGGAGCCTCTCGCGGCGTCGCCATCTTCTCTTTCTCTTCCCTTGCTTGTAATCCATTCATGGCCGCTCCCATTTTCACTGATCGGAGCTCACGAATTGTCTTTGTTTAATGCATTTCTCATTCTTCGGATCTCTGTTGTCAGGAATGGGAATGCCAAATCTTCGGTAGCTCGATCTGTCGGGCAGGTTAGGTCAAGGTAACATTGTTTCTTCTTCTTTTTTCTATTTTAATTGTTTTTCCTTTGGTTTCTTTCAAAAGTTTCATCAACATTATCGTTTGTGCTTCATCAGATCCATCGGGCTGGTGGATCAGCAACGGAGGAGCTTATCGGAAGTCTCCCAGCTCCACTAGTGCTGTTTATTTAGGGGATTTCTAGCTCGCCTGCTCCCCGACCTCTGGTTTATCCGCACGTATCACTCTAATCTCTTAGTCTTTAGGCAAATTAGATAATAAGATTGTACAAACATCATTTATTCAACGTCTCCAGTTCCGATGGATTTCCTCGGAGCTCTTTTGCCTTTTTTTTTTCCGGTTCTTTGTGTATGGACCGGCGGTCTTTGAAGTTTGAACTTTGAATGGGAAAGTGTGAAAAGGTTGCTTTATTGTAATTTCTTATACCGAGTTCCTTTTTCTGTTCTTCTTTCCCCTTTCATTTTGAACGTAGTGACCAAAAAGGATTCAGGCTTTTATCATACCAAACCTATTTTTTATTAATTAATGAAGAAAACAGTCGGCTAAATTTGACCACTAGTAATTGCTTTTCGTCATTGACTATCTTATACAGTTATACTTCTGCTTAAATAAGGTTGTAACTCAAAAGTGAGGATGATGATGCGAAGACTGGCTTGCTGTCGTCGCAGAACCAAAGACTTTAGCATTGACCTGGATGAGCATGACAGTAAGTGATTTGAATTCTTCGCCTTGTTTTTTTAATTAAATTATTTATTTGATTTTAGGATTTTGACAGCAACATTTAAGAATTTGTCATGATTTCAGATGCCATCAACACAAATAAAATGTAATTTCAGGATTTTTTTTTTCACAAAATCATCCGAAAAGAGCAAAACATCTCTATCTATAAACTTTTTTTTTATCTTGCGAATATCAGACTAAAAAAAAAACTGACTGTGGAAGTTAAAAATTAGTAACAGGATTCTATTCCAAAATTTTGGCAACAACTTCTAAGAGCTTTACTAGTTAAGCAGCTAGTCGGCACCAGTCTAGAGCAAAATTTGCTCTCGCCATCCGCTCCTGGGAGCAGAGTTATGAAAAACATAGATGAAGGTAATTAGTCTCAGGGGCTACTTGGTGCCCTATTTTTAGGAAGCATTTAAGGAAAATTTTATGTAAATCATGCCAAAAAGAATTTTGATGACTTTAAGTATTACTGTTTTAATAAATTTCATTTCAACTCAACTTTGCTATTGATTAAATTCAATATTTATTAAATGTCACTGTCTCTAAAATTTATCAAACTTAAGGATTTCTCTCTCAATCTTAAAATCCTAAAATAAATGACAATCAGTAAATTGGAACTTAAGAAATTTCAGATCTCATGCTGAATAATGTTAAGATTTTAATCTTCACAAAATTTATTAAATCTGAATTTTTATAATTTATTAAATTCTACTTTAGTTATGCTAGTAGCCCTGCTGCCCCTTAAATTTTCAGTAGTTTGAAGAGATGTACCATCTACTCAATTTGAAGGCATCATGACTTCTTTATAGCAATTGATTGAATTACAAATGACGAGTAAAGAGATCTGCAGCTTTTTTTTCCTGTATATTAACTTTTGGGAAAAATTGGCATGATTATCCCAACACAATTTTTTTTCTTAATTTTCATTGCCCATTAAGGAATACTAGAACACTACAATCTCATAAATAGTTGTGAAAAACGTTGTGTCAGAATCTCTCTCCTGATGTAAATTATATTATGATGAGATTCATACCTTGGATCTATCTTGAGAATTGCGCCACATATGATATCGAAGGGCTACACTAATCTCATTGCAAATTAAATGGATATAAATTTCATTTTTGATAATTTGTGGATGTTTTAAGGCATTTTTTTTTTCAAATGATAGTTGAATAATACTTATTATTATGGCTCTGGTGCTATAACATCAAACAACAAAGCATAGTATTTTTAACTTCAAACGCGGGCAGCTTCGAGCGTCCGAGTCTCTAGAATTATTTATGAGGAATTGAGGAAGTTAAGAAGATATGCATTGGGATGAATATAATTTTTGAATATTTGTGCTTTCTTAAAAATATTTTTGTGCATATCCTTTTAGGAAGTTTGTCCCTACTTATGGCATCTTAAAGTCAGAATGGTCTTCAACAGATTTGATGATCTTATTCTATTTTTCAAATTAAAATTGGATTAAAGGGCAAGTATAGCCGTATAGGCAAGTTAGAGTGGCAATTGGAGATTAGAGAGAGTCCACCGTCTGATTGTACTAATGGTTAAGATTCTTTCACAATATATTAAATTTGAAACCTTATAAAAAAAATCCGGCATCATTTTTTAAGGACCACATAATTCCATCTCCAAGAAGGCGAAGGGAAAGGTTTGAGTGCAATAAATGGCTGTACGTAGGATGCAAACAGCAGTTAATGGGTGACACGGGAACCAGGACTATAGGTTGCTGCCCTTCTGCCAGTCAAAAACTTTAGCAAATATACTGTAACTTGTGTTTTGGCCTTCTATATTTTGTTGGATTGCCATTGAATTTAGACCGATGGTAGAGAGAGAAAAACTCCCGTACAGGTCTGTTTGGTGAGAATTTAAGCAGAATTTAAACTGATTCTGCTAAACAGCAAAGATGACAAAATTAAATCAACAAAACATTAAATCCCGTTTATCTTAAATATTGGATTTAATAAATCTGGACATTAGGACGGCGGACTCATGAGTTCCTCTTCTTCTTCAAACGCAGTTGTTTCAGTTGTTACTTTCTTTAGTGGGATCCCTTGGCGATTTTTCATAATTTTTTTATTGTTGAGGTTTTGGAGAATTTAGAGAATGGAAAATTGGGGTGAAAGACAGAGGGTTTGATGTGTTTAACTTTATAATCTGCAATTTATGATTTTTTAAATAAATTTTGATAAAATTGTAATTATTAATTTTAGTTAGTATTAATTAAATAAAATATATCAATTTAGAAATTAATTTTAATAAAAAAATAATATTTATTAACTAAAAAATATATTAATATTATTTATGATTTAATTTGATTAAATAGAAGTTATTATATTTAATTAGCTTTATAAATTACTAATTAATGATTTGCTAAGGTATTAAATTATGCTAAGTATAATTTGACTAGCATAATTAGAATTGATAAATTTTTTATTAATTAAAATTCTTAACATTCAACCAAGCAAATTAGATACAGATATGTTAATTAGAAAATTTAAATATGCTTTAATAATTAATATCTGTTAATTAAATTGTAATAAGATAAGTAAGTTGATATTATTATTTATTTAATTTATCTAAATATAAGTTATAGTTTAATTAGTTAACTGGATGACTAACTAATAATTAATTGAGATATTTAATTAGATTAATTACGATTTAATTAGTCTAACTAACATTGACATAGGTGAAATAAATATACTTATATATAATATTCATAAAAATTAAATTCTGAAATAAATTATGGAACAATTCAGGTGAATTTAATTATATTTAACTTCTTTCATACCTGGTAGTTTTTAGGATTTAAAACATAGTAGATTTGTTAAATCCACAGTTACAGGATTTGCTAAATCGTACTTGCAACCTAACAGCCCAACTTGATTTAAAAAATTTATATTACACTTTTGTTTTTCATAAAATGCTATTAGTATAGAAATTTACCAATAGAGCAGCAGATTTATAATTTTATTCATATAACACAGTCAACACACCTTTATCAAACTTAACATTGGCGTTTAAGATGAACGCCACAAATTCTATGATAAATTAAAAAGAAATTATTGAGAAAGTAATAAAATTTCTCTCAGATGAGCATATATAATAACTGATAAGAAGAATTTAGTGAGGGAGATCTTGAAAATGATTTTTAATTGCATTCCATAATATAGCATGACACTAATGTTTCTCAAAATCAATTTGGATTCATGACAGGTAGGTCTAGTATGAAAGCTATACATTTATTGAGAGATTTTATGGTGAAGTATAGAGAGAATAAGGAGGATCTACATATGATTTTTATTGATTTAGAGAATCATATGATAAAGTTCCAAGAGAAGTGATATGGAGAGTTCTACATAAATGGGTTAATAATGCTTATATTTAAGTCATTAAGGATATATATGCAGGAGCTGTTTGACCAATCATTTTCCTATTTTAGTTGGATTACATCAAGAATCAACCTTAAGCTCATATCTTTTTGCTTTAGTCATGGATGTTCTCACTAGATATTTGCAAGAGGTTATACCTTGGTGTATTCTTTTTGCTGATGATATTCTTCTTGTTTATAAGACTAGAGAGGAAGTTAAAGGTAAACTTGAATTATGGAGGTCAGCCTTAGAGTCTAAAGGTTTTCGCTTGAGTAGATCTAAAACGGAATATATGGAGTGTAATTTTAGTGGTAATAGACCTAGTGAGGGGATTGTGACTTTGGTCGATCAAGTTATTAATAAGAGTACACGTTTTAGATATCTTGGATACTAGTTGTTTCAGAGTTGATGGTAAATTTTAGATGTGGATTGATTATCAAGTCAGTAATTCATTCTGGATGCTGTATTGGGACGGAATGAGTTCAGGGCTTTGATGTGTAGTTTAGAAAAAGACCCCTTAAACTTAAGGTGTAAAATTCTATTTTAAGATGGTGTGGTGAGCGCCTTGCTCATACTTATGCATTTATTGTGACTTAATGTTTGGCCATTAAAAGAGAAGCATAATAAGTTAACAGAGATGTGAGCAGGTATTTTCAGCATCGTTAAGGTGCATGACTAGGGAATGCGTTCATTGATGTGGCTTTACCTTAGAGATGGGAATACGAAAATGAGCATGATACGCCTGAAAAGGTGGAGTAGCTCACTAGTTAGAAGATAAAGTTATGAGAGATTTCCTTATGATGGTTTGGTCAAAATAAAACGCTCGCCTTCCGACGATACCCGTTATTTAGAGTAGTAGAGGTAGTTAGAGTGTTGACTTATGTTAAGAAGGTTAAGGCAGACCTTAAAAAGACTTGTTAGAAAAATATTCAGAATGACTTTTTCTTATATAGATTAAATGAGAATATTTGACTTTTAATAGGACACAATGAGCAGAAAGGATTACATCTAGCCAACCCCACGTAGTGGGATAAAGGCTTGATAGTTGTTGTTTTGATAAGAACTTATGAAGGGACGTTTAAATGTAAACTTGAAGTATGGACGGTTAACCTTTAGAGTCTTCAAAATGATTTCGTTTTGGAGTAGTCACCTAAAACTGTAATAATGGAGTGTAATCTTTTAGTAATAAATAGATCTAGTGGGGATTGTGTTTTGTGGCGATTCAAGTTTATTATAATACAGTTTTAGACATCTTGTCTATTGATTCAAATAGTGAGTTGATATTGAAATAGGGATATGGGAATTATTTAAGATAGAATCTCTAAGTTGAGGATGATTGAAGTGGAAGGAATGTATCCGGCACTTATTGTGCGCAGATTTGGAAAAGTTCCTATCTCAAACTGATGGTTAGAACGGGCTGCAGGGGTCAGTGGCAAGATCAGAGTACTCCAAGCCCTCCTGAAAACCTCTGAATTAGAATCCCTTAGGGGAATCATGAAATGCCAGAATTTTATATTGTCTTTTCTTCTCAGAAATCTGAGCTTGAATTCTTCTGATAGAGTGGGAGGAAGAATGTTCAAGCCGTGAATAGAATTGAGAAACTAAATGCAGGATTCGTCCTTGCCACCATGCTCTAGATTTAGAATGCTCTTTCACCTGCAGGGTTATTGGCGAAGGGGAGTTCGGAGAGTGTGACGAATACGACTATTGGGATTTAAGCCAAAAAGTGTGGGAATGTGGAAGGTCGGCTGGCGGTGAGGATTGGGACACGGTCTGACCTAGGGAATATCCATATGAGACCTATTCAGCAAAGTTGGTATTATTCCAGGAAATCTGGTCCAGCTATGCAAGAGGATTTTTAAATTCCAAAATCAGTGAGAAAAACTACTGGACATCAGTTATTATAGCCACGGATTGTTTATCTGAAGAGGAGTTTAATGATGGCAAGAAGCAAGAAATCTGGGCAGGATTTTGGCTAGATCCAGTGAAGTGGAAGAAACAGCGGGGGAGCGTGGGAGGATTTAGGGAAATATTGCTTAATTCCACTGTCAGCTTTAGAGGAAGTAATTAATGCCTGAATGTTCGGCTGAGTAATAAGGGAAATTATTTCCCAAAGAGACGTAACAGTTTTTAGGAGAACTATTTTCCTAATCCCATCACTAAGAGGGGCCTGCAATAATGCTAGGAGTAGCAATTACAATGGGGGAGATTATGGTCTCTTATTTGGTATTAGCGAATTAGGAAAGTATTTAATCAAATCCAATTTGAATTTAAAATTCAAATGGATGTAAGTTAAGAATAACTTCCTAAAATAGAAGAACCAAATTAGAAAGAATTTGAAATTTTGAATTTGAAATAAATTTCAAATTTAAATTAAATCCCAAAAATATAACAGCCAACCAAATAGGAAAAATCCCACCAAGAGAAGAGGTTGGGAGGAGGCCCAGTCTTTGCTGGCGGCGTGCCTAATTTCCGGGGTGGAGCCACTTAGATGGGCTTAATGGGCAGATGGTCGTTAGAGGATATGGCGGGAAGCGGTTAGTTGCTGCTGTCTATTTCTACTGTTTCCGGCAACCTCTTCTACTGTATGCTACTCGGTTCTACATCCGGACCGTACACTCGAAGACTTGTGGCAACCAAACGAGACAAAGATCGGTGAGCGAAAGGAACGAAAGACGAAGCATTAACAATTGAAGAGCAATAAGAATGAACAAAAACAAATAAACAAAATATCAAAGATACAACCGCGAGCCCGGACACATCCTGCGGCTGACGGGTACTACGCTGCCCTTCTCCAAGGGACTTCACGCCACGAGCCCGGACCCATCTTGCGGCTGGTGAAAACTCCGACTCCCTCCCATAGGGATTTCACAAACGTTCTTCCCAAAGAACCCAAGTGCAAAACGCAAATTTTTTTATTAATAATTCATCATCCCCTAATATAAGAGCAAATGCCTCTATATATAGGCCTTAAAAGAAACTAAAAGACAATTTTGCCCCTTGGGCTTACATAACACAAATCCCTTAAGTAAGGGTAAAAAAGAAAAATGCATAATTAAATAAAAATTACAATTAATAAAATACGATAAAATGAAGGGATCTCGGTCGTCGATCTTCAGCTCCTCCTCGGATAGGCATGGACGGTTGGATGTCCGCATCACAAACTTAAGAGAGAATTTTATAAGATTGTAGTGAAACTTGTAATGTTTTATGGTGCAGAATGTTGGCCATTAAAAGAGAAGCATAATATTAAGTTAAGTGTTGTAGAGATGAGCGTGCTCAGGTGGATGAGTGGCTTTACTCTTAGAGATAGGATACAAAATGAGCATGTATGTGAAAAGGTTGGAGTAGCTCCAATGGAAGATAAGATTTGAGAGAATTTCCTTAGATGGTTCGGTCATATAAAACAATGGCCTTTTGATGATCTGGTTAGGAAAGTAAATGTATTAGATATGACTTATGTTGAGAAAGGTAGAGATAGACCTAAGAAGACTTGGTTAGAAAATATTGACCTTTCTTTATTAGATTTAGATGAGAATTTGACTCTTAACATGACACAATGGAGAAAAGGGATTCATGTAGCCGACCCCACATAGTGGAATAAATGCTTGTTGGTGTTTTTGTTGTATTCCATAATATAGAGGTTGCAATGTACGTGTGTGTATGATCATATTATAATAACTGATAGGAAGAATATATTGAGAAAGATTTTGAAAGTTTTTTTTTTTAATTGCATTCAATAATATAGAGGTTGCAATGTGTGTATGTGTATTGGTAATAATTACAAATCTGAGTTATTATAAATTACTAAAATCAGGGAGCATTGCATGAAAGCCTATAATTTGCAAACATACATCATAGTAATTGTAAATCCAACGAGTTATTACAAATCACTAAAATCAGGGATCTATGCATTTAAGCTCATAATTTGTAAGGATGGTAACTATGGACTATGGTATTGTATTGATATAATGACAGGATGCTGGACAATAATTTAGAAAGTTTGTTGATTGAGAAAGCAAAATTTGGTCGAGTGAGTGCAATATATTGAAGAACTATGTTAATAATTCTATAATATGTTGGTTCTATGAGAGATGTATCATCATATGAAGTAAGAGGTTGACTAGGGAAACATTGGTATTTTGATAGGCTTGGCATTGAGCATGCTGACCTTTCGGAGAAGATTCTGAATGTTTTTGTTGTTGAGAAATTTATTGTTGAAATCACATAAACAACAATAAAACAAAAGAGCGTAATAAGCTCCTTAATAGAGAATTAGCTGGCTTACTTTGTTCTTGATGCTTTGACATGATTGTAATGGCTTCCAGCGACAATCAAGTCATCCACATATATTATCATAAATATAGTGAGCTGTTCTTCACAGTTAATGAATATGGTGTCAGAATCAGAGTTGGCAAATCTGAGTTGTAATAAAAATTAATGGTTTTTTTTTTCACCATGCATGTGGTGCATCATGTAAGAAAGTATTATTGATATGAAATTAATGAAGAGATCATCCTCTTGGGAATGCATGATATAGAATGATGCAAATCGTAGTTGGCTTTATAAACTGATAGCTTTTTGCTAGTCAATGCCTGGTTGTTTGATGAAAGCCTTTGGCAACAAGATAGGCTTTGTGGCATTCAATGGTACTAAAAAGTCTGTATTTAATACAGAACACCCATTTACAACCAACCAAATTTTTTAATGGGTGCAAAATTTTGCCTGGAACATAATCCGTTAAAACTCTCCTCAAATCACGCAAAGAGTCTGGGGCATAAAATTTTAGAGCCCACCCATGGGTATTGACATTGACCAGTGGCTGCGTTGGTACCATGATAGGTAGAATAAAGTGGGAGAACTTTTGAAAACTATTTTTTTGAATGTATTCCATGATGTGGAGTTTATAATGTATATGTATACATAATAACAAATCAATTATAGTAATTAAAAATTCATCGTATCAGTTACTGATCTTATTGTTGATCTCAGATTGAAATAATATGAATGATGATACGATTTTCAGTTATGTTTATGCTTTACAGTTTACAATTAATATTTTGGGCAACGCCATCTTCTGAGCAAATCACAACGCCAATTACCCTAATTATTTTTATGGGATGCTAGTGGAATGGGTGACTTAATGCTATGAATTTGAATGACAATGTTTGGTGCAAATTGAAATATCAGTTGCACTTGGCATTACTTCTAGTTACTATTCATAACAGATCTTAAGGAATCGTTCTTCATATGTTTGCGTTTCCAGTTCCATATAGATATTTGATAGCTGGGAAAAAGTTGTCTCAGGCTATTCCAAGTCTTTTTAAGAAGATGATATGTTCATAACTCACAGCACACCACATTTTCTCCCACCAGTACCTAATTGAAATATCTTGAAATTTGAAATTACATGAGAACTCGTAGCGTACTATGCGTATATCCTCATTCTAGTTTGGCTTTGCAATGTCTTGAGCCAAATTTTTCCAAGTAGTTTCAAGTCTCACTTGCCAGCATTCACAATACTGCCATAAATATGAGTCTTAAGGTCGGCCTATTTGAACTTTTTCTGTACGCTTGCAAGTTGCCATCATCCGTCACCTTTTCAAGCACTGAGAAAGATAAAAAAAATGAAGGCAATATTGCAGGGGTAATGACCTACAGTGGACTTGAGAGCTGCATCCTAAACAGCTGCTCTTATGACAATGAGAGTGGCGGCAGCGGCATGAGCAGAAGCGATGGCTGTGCTGTGACAGATTCATTGGATGAAGACTGTGCAAGCTGTTCCTCTAGCAAAGAGACCTTGAGCTCTTCTTTCTCCTCCTTATGCCTAGTATCCAGAAAGCATGAAGAAGATCATTTGCTTGATGAGTTGGAGACCATTCAAAATCGCAGCAAAGGAAAAGTACCAATTACTTACTCCATGCACCATCTAGATGTTCAGACCATGAAGGACAGATTTGCAAAATTGTTGCTTGGAGAAGATACTTCTGGAGGCACCAAGGGAATTAGCGCTGCTCTTGCACTCTCCAATGCTATCACAAGTCTGTCGGGTAAGAGATGCACATTTTTCCTTGTTGCTGTCAATCTTTGCAAAATTACCATTTTTTTTTACATTTTAGTGACTTAAATATCTTGTTACCATGGCTAACATTTTACTGATTTTCCTCCCATCCATACAATAGTTATAGAACAAGGACTTCAGTATTAGCTTGGTATCATTTTGAGGGTCAATTAGATAAATGGAAATTATTATCATGGTTGTATAAAGCATACCGGACCAGCTAGTTTAAAAAGTTCAATAATGAACTGGTCTTTTGACCGGTTCAGTCCAATTCTAAAACCGCTTGCTATAAACAGTCAAAATAGGTTGTTGAACTAGAGAACCATTGAACCAGTCTGATTTTCGATGAACTGCCCAGTTCTAATATTGAGATCATTTTTGGCTTTCGATTTTGTTTAGATTGTTGGAAATAAAGGCTTGGATCAAAAAAATTGTTTAAATATATATACCTTAATTTTAAGTTGAATGACTTAAAAATATAAGTTAATGAAATTTCTTTTAAATTTGGTTGTCATTGACGCTCCATTCTATTGATGGTATTCCACATATTTTTGCAAGCATCTATATAGGCGTATCTATATATAAAAAAAAATTAAAATATTATATCCCTAAATTTTTATTTAGAATTATATTCAAAATATTTTATGGTGAGTATCTGGTTTAGAATATTTTAGAATGGATTAATACAAATATTATGTCATATTAAAATAATTTTAATAATTTTTATTATCTCGATCAACAGCCTGCTGAATATTCGAATCTTGAAACTCTCCTTTTTGTTCAATTTTTGTTTGATTTTCAAAACCTTGTTTATTATAGGATTTGCAGGATTCATTTGTGCAAATTGGTTACTCAAAAAATGAATCACACGCTAAAACATATATTCCTTGTTTCTAAGATTAGCTGGACCTTGCAATACAGGCACTTTTACCATTTCTCTAGGCCCTGCTCTCTTATAAAAGAAGGGGTACTCGCAATCTTTTCCCTACATTGCAAGAGAGTTTGTTTCCTCGGTGAACGTTACCATCAACAGCTCTATTCTCGATATAATAACTATACAATTTTATATGGCAGTAAATATATTTTTTTCTCTGGGCTAACATATTATTGGTTCCGGGCAAATTAACTCGTAACTCAGTATCTGTATTTGGTGAGCTCTGGAAACTGGAACCTTTGCCTGACGAAAGAAAGAACAGATGGCGCAGAGAAATGGACTGGTTGCTTTCTCCAACCAACTATATGGTGGAGTTAGTGCCTGCAAAGCAACTTGGGTCCAGTGGTGGGATGCTAGAGGTATGAATCTTCAATATGAAACATGCTTCCTGAATTTATAAATTGAAACTGGTACATCATATTTTACCCTCCTGTTATAAATTATGCTCTTTTAGTGCAGATTATGACTCCCAAAACTCGGTCAGACATCCATGTGAATCTTCCTGCTCTTCAAAAACTAGATTCCATACTTATTGTGAGTCCTAGCTTTTTATTTTTCTTTTCCTGCAGGACTATTTTCTTATATTAAAAGAAACTATATCAAAATATTACTCAAGTTGCTCCTAGACGGAGCATGATTTGAGCACTGAAAGATTACTTTTTTATCTGCAGGATGTTTTAGATTCAATGGTGGAGACAGAGTTTTGGTATGTTGAAGGGGGTAGCAGGGGTGATGACCGAAGTAGCAGTGGCAACAGAACTAGCAAAAGGTGGTGGCTTCCTTCACCGAGGGTTCCAGATTATGGGCTTTCTCCTACTCTGAGGAAAAGGCTTAGTATTCGTGCAAAACTTGTGAATCAGGTTCTAAAGGCTGCCAAATCTATTAATGAACAAGTATTACTTCAAATGCCCATACCTCAAGCTATAACAGACGCCCTTCCAAAGGTAATCTCTTTACATATTCATATTTTGTGATACCGGTTTGTAATATGATAATTTGTAGGAAACTTACCTTCAAATGCCAATAGTTCGCTCTTTTTAAGAAAATTAGCTTTAGAACTTTGTAAATAACGGTAATAATTTATTCTAATTTGTAAACAAGAACTTCTGACTCAAGCATGCATAATGGGATTTCAAAATATTCAATTATTCATATTTTACTTTTTAGCACTTGTATCACTAAAAAGGATATGAAATCTTGATCTAGTTATTAGGGTTTGGGCATGCACAATGAATGGGAAAAAAAATGCCCCAGTAAACTAGTAGATAAAAATTAGTATATGTGTAGAAAGGAGAAGAGTCTGGGCATGCACAATGACTTAGGCTTCGTTTGAGGCGGCTTTTTTAATGCTTTCTAGTACAAAAATTTTTAGTTAAAATTTTTTTTATATTATAAAGTTATTTTAGAAAACAGTAAGAAAGCCGTCCCAAATATAACCTTAAAAATAACATAGATAAAGTTGTGTAAAATGATTTTCAAAGAATAGGTCTAAAATCTCAAGCAAACACTCAATAGCTATGAATGGAAAATAAGAATTCATAAAACCGACCCCAAATAAATTTTGATAGTTGTACTATGATTTTATAAAATAGTCTGATAGAAATACCCTAGTTTTAAAATACTCAGACATATAAAGCAGGGTTTCAATGCTCCCTAATACATATGTCGGTACTATTTTTTCTTATTTATAAAATAGAATTAATTATAATTGTTATTTTAATATTATTTCCTCGAAAAACACAAAAATATGGGGGAATTTATACAAATCTCTCTAAATTATTTCCCAATGACTTCCAAATTCGTATATTTTTCCCTTGCAGTCGGGGAGGGCAAGCTTGGGGGAAGAGATCTACCGATGTATTACTGCAGTACCCTACTCCATTGAGGAAACTTTACTTTCTATGAATTTAAAAAGCGAACATGCTGTTCTTGAAGCCTTGAACCGGTTAGAAGGTGCCCTTTTTTCCTGGAAGCAGAGGATTTCTGATGAGGAAATTAAAAGATCACCAATTCGTTATCCCTGGTACTTTGCAAGGGATGGTGGATCTGTTGCTGGAAGGATTCAGGCCTGGATGGAAAGAGCAGACATGCTTGTGAGACTACTCAAGAACAGATTCCCAAACCTGCCACAAACCTTCATAGAAGTTACCAAGATTCAATATAACAAGGTTAATACTTGTGCCTTGAAACCAAGCTTTTAAAACTTAATTTCAATTTCGATTTCCCTACATTGAAAGTTTTTAGATGGAGCACTTGTGATAGTTCCATTGATTTCTTCTCAAGCCTGCCTCAAACCTTTATTTTTAAGGCTTCGTTTGGGACGTCTTTTTTAATGCTTTCTAAAACGGAGTTTTAATAAAAAAATAAAAAAATTTGTACTAAAACTCCATTTTAGAAAGCAATAAAAAAACCGTCCCAAACGAAACCTAAGTCACCTACTTTCAATAGAACAAAGTTAGTTGTAGTAATATGTGTTGAAATCAGGGCTTTAATTAGGGGTGTCAATTTCGGGTCATAGGTCGGGTTCGGGTCGAACTCGAAACTGATTCGGCACTATTCGGGTCAACCCGAACTTGACCCGTTTTTGCAAACAGGTCGGTTTTCCGGATCCGAACCTAACCCGCTTCGGGTCCTGGTCAACCCGACCCAACCCGAATGACCCGGTACCAATAAAAAAATTGCTAGTTTTCAGGTCCAAAAATAGGTCAAATATCTTACTTTTCGGGTAAAAAACGGATCAATCACGGGTTGCCGGGTACAAAATGGGTCAAAGGGTCAATCTGAAACTGACCCAATTTTTTAAACAAGTCGGATTGTTGAACCCAAACCCGACCCATTTTGGGTTCGGGTTGACCCTAACTCAAAAATTTTCGGGTCGTATCAAATATTGACACCCCTAACTTTAACAGGAAAGATGAACTGATTCCAGATTGATTTCAACCGAATTCAATTCGAAATCATCAAAACTTAAGAAACTTAGCTCTCCTTCCAAATTCATATTCTCATCATCACCTCCTTCACATGTTGTTCTATATACAGGATGTGGGGCACTCCATATTAGAGGCTTATTCGAAGGTTATTGTGAACCTAGCATTCAGCATACTCTCCAGAATAGGAGATATCCTTCAAGAGGATGATTTGAAGAAGCCACCCACTCCAATTTCAACACTCAAGTTTGATTTCTTCTCTGATGCCTATCTTGCTGGCTTCAAGGAGACTCCACCTGGAAGGAACTTTGAGAGCACCAAGGTAGGCAAGAAAGCTGAACTGTAACCGCAAATAATCATCAGGTAGCAGAGCTTTCTCGCACAGAAGCTAAGCTCATGTATGTATTATTGACTTGTGAGCATTTGATTATTGATATGTACTTTTGATCATATTTATATATATGATAATATCTCTCTATCTTCAACGGTCAAAATTCTCACCCAAGTAAAGAAATGCATAATGCAGGCAAGAACAGCTTGCCTTCCTTGACTGTGATGTATTGGGCCTAAAAGTAGCTGTGGTTCTAACTTTTTCCAGCAATAATTTTTAGTAGAATTGCTAGGATTATTATATTTAAAGGTATTATGATATGGGATTAATAATAAATTTATTATTTTAAGATATTGATTACTTTTGGTTTCTTGAAGAATGTCTCGTTCTACCATCGATATTATTATGTGATTAATATTTTTGTATATATTTTTTATTTTTCTTTTCTTTTATATGGGTATGCTTAGGATTAATGAAGTAAAAATATAACTTTTATGATTTTTAGACAAATGTCTAATAAGAACATTCATGACTAAAGCAAAAAAAAAATATGAGCTTAAAGCTTATCCCTTTGAACTTGTCATATGCTTTCACTAAAATCTAAAATAATAAATATCATATGTGGATATTAAAATGATCGCCTTGCTAAGGCTTTGTTTGAGACAACATTCTTATTATTTTCTAAAATAATTTTGTTGTTCAAAATTTTGTTGAACTAAAAAATTTTTAACTAAACATTTACTTTAAAAAACAATAAAAAAAATTATGCCAGAGGAACCTAAATCCCTTAGATTCTTGTTCAAATTAAGTTAATTGTAGATATGTTATATTGTACAGCACAATATTTATTGCTCTGTTAAAAATTAGTGGTCCTTGCAGTGAATAAGATAGAAAAATACCTTCTCCAAACAAAGGAATTGATATTGCATCATCATCATATTTTACTTGGAAAATTTTTGTCATCATCTCTTAATCTTAAAGGAGAAAATATTGTTGACATCATATTATTATGGTCATCTATTAAATTTTTACTTTGTTTTAAATTCATATAACAAACTTTTATATGTAACAATAGTAGATATCCTATACAAATAAATTTTTGAATAATTATATTATGCAAAGTGTCATTATGCTACTTCTGCTAACAATAATCATCCCATTTATATCCATGCAAATAAATGAAAACACAGATTTCTCATCATTAGAAAATCCCAAACTTCAAATAATCTGAGTTTCTCATCAAATTTCGATCAGAAAGAAGAGATGATGCTTCATATATTGCAAAAATGCATATACAACATTCTGGTGATGAACAATGAATAAAACACTGTTCAGTTCACTGCTTTACAAATTTAAATTTTATTTGAAACATCTTTCTTACTGCTTATTAAAGCAGCTTTTTATTACATAATTTATGTACTAAAAAGATGCTTTAAGAAGCAGTAAGAAAGCCGTCTCAAACGATGCCTTAGTCTCCTTTGTACAATGATACATTGGAACAGACCAGCAGTACCTAGATGAAATCACAACTCAATATAAGCACAACAAATTTAATGACTATTAATTCCTCCACCTACAGGATTTTAACAAGCTGACAAGGTTAAAAAAAACCTATGGTGCAAAGAAAGTTTTGATCCGGTCATGCTCTCCCTGCACTGCCATGGCGCTGGGTGCGGAAGTAGCTAAGAAGAGCTTGAGCCTGCAAGCAGAATTTTAATTTAATAAGAATATTCTAATGTATATTCAAGATCAGGAGATTGTGCAAAGAGTTCATTTTGATTCTTAGAAGTTAGAAAAAATGAAGAAAAAATGAATTGTAACACAGTGATGTTTGGTTGATCTATTTTTTTTACTTGGGAGTGTCGTTCAAAATGATTTTGTGCTCTGTGAACCATATAAAAAACTCCCTCGAATGATTTTGCTTTCATAGTTATAACAAGTGAGAATGAAGATTTGCAACAGTTATGTAAGCTCATAAAGTTAGCTGGTTCTAAACAAAATAGCAAGCATAGAAAAGGTACTCATACCTTTTCTTTAGCGCGAGGTGTGCCTGATTGAGACAGAGCGACTAATGGTGGAACAGCACCTTCTTGGAGAACTATGCTACCAAATCTGTTGCTATTTGTACATAGCTGAAGCAAAGCGGCTGCAGCATTTTCCTTCCCTCTCGCTGAACCCAACTCAGCAACTTCCACAAGTACTGGGATTCCACCTTCACGTCCAATTGCAGTTCTTCCTTCTGGTATGGTTGAAAGGTTAGCCAAAACAGCTACAGCCTTGTCAACCATGCCAGCAGCTGGATCCATCAACTCAACCAAATACCTCACGGCCCCAGCCTGCACAATTTTTGTTTTGTTCTCGTGAAATATTGATAGATTAAACAAAGCTGTAGCAGCATCTTTCTTTCCCCGGCGCGTCCCATTTCCTAACAATTCAACCAGTGGTTTGATAGCACCAGAACGTCCAATCCTAACCTTGTTTTCTTCAATTACAGAAAGGCTAAAGAGTGTTGCAGCCGAGTTTTCTTTTGCTTCAGGATTTCCTGTTTCAAGGACATGAACGAGAGGGTCGATGGCATCGGCATTTGCAATGGCAGTTTTGTTGTTGTCATTAATTGATAAGTTTAAAAGAGCAGTAACTGCATTCTCTTGGGTCTTTGGATCAGTTGAATTTAGATGACCAACTAAAAGGGGTATAGCTCCACAATTTGCAATCACTATTCTGTTCTCCATGTTATGTTTAGCAAGAAGACGCAGCTCTTCTGTGGCAGTTCTTTGCACATCCATAGAATCACTTCTTAGATCCTCAACCAGCTTCCGCACTTGGGTCTCAACACCAGATAGATCAGGTCTGCTATCCAAAGAGGGTGAAGAAACCATCTTTGGAGTAAATCGATCAGATGGTCGTCGCCAAAAGATTTGACTTCTAGACCGGACATCAGTAAATTTGGATATAAAATCTGGCTCTACCTGAGCAGCAGAAGTAGGAGTCTCCCGCATAACTTCACCTGAAGCATCATTGCTGGTATGTGTAAGGTCACTATAGACTCGAGAGACTGTTCTTGCATCTCCTACCTCTTCATGATGCTCAGTATCTAAAACATCATTGGAAATTGAACTGCTGCGTATATGTTCCTGACTATCTTGAGAAAAATCTTGCTTGAAATGAGTTGAAGTTTGATCACCAGAACCAACATATCTCTGTTCAGATCTAGATTCATTTTTGTCTTCAGAGCCTGATAATGACATTCTAGCAAATCCTGTATCACATTGATTTACGTCCTGGAAAGATGAGCCTCTGGATCTTGAACCACTGGAATGAAGCTGAGAAGACGCGGGTTTCTCAGGGAGGTAACTTTCCTGGTGGATCCCATTAGACGAAGCTAGCTCCTTATGCGCATTAACCGATGAAATACCATTTTCTAGTGATCTTGTATATTTATTCCTTTCAAGATGATTACGACGAGGCGAAATTTTGCTATCATTTGCCTTCATATCTATAGGGCTGATGAAAGCAGAGGGTCGGGTTTCATTCAAGGATCTTAATGGATCAGCCAACTTGATGTTGTTTGATTCACACCAGTTTTCAATGAGCGCCTTAACGGTATAATTGGGGGTTAAATTGCTGTGTCCAAGTGTTTGACGTGACTTGGGGCAAACATTAAACCCTTGATCAAGCCATTTCTTAATAAAGGCTCGCTCATAAGTTTGTCCTGACGCCACAATCACAGGATCAGCCATTAATTCTAAGGAGAGAGGACAGCAGAAGTCAGGGGGAATTGGCACCCCGTTAATGCTGTGTAACTGTTTTACTTTAACGAGGCAATCATGCATATAGGTGATCAGTGCCAGTATGTGATCAATGTACTCCAGTTCTGCATGGCTACCACCACGCCCTACCATGGATTTAAGCTTATCAAGGGCAACAGCCTCCATAAGCAATTCCTGATTAGATGACAAGTTCAACAACCTTGAAATTTTCTCCAGATGTTCAGAGCTGGGTAGCCTTTTGTTGATCTGATCCTGTATGACCTCTTTTATTTCATCCATGATCTTTTCATGATGAACCAGCTGAATCTTCTTCTTAAAACACTAGAATGTATGGCAAAAACAATCAGAAAGGACAAGAGTAGGAAAATGAATATCCAGTGTGACCGAGAAAGAATTACCTCAACATTTTCTGCAGATACAGTAGGAGGGCATAAAGATTTAAATAGTTGGCAAGTGACAACAGCCGATGTCTGTATTTTTGTTATTATTGGCTCATTTTCCAACACCTGAGTTAGACATTAAGTAGCAACAAAGAATGCGTGATTTACTTTCCAATTGCATTAGTATAAACGATTGAATGTAACAATCATTATGAATAACAAAACATAAGTGAGTTGAGCAATAGTTCCTTTAGCAAGATTAATGAATGGAACAGGCCTAGAACAAAAAATGCACAAATCCCTTCAATCAACTGCCAAAAAAAGTATAGTAGAATCATCTAGGAACTACTTCATCATTTCTCAGTATTTTCCTCTCATTTCTTCATTTTTATTTTTCAAGAGCCCTTTCTTAAATCATAGAATCCACTTTCATTCACGAGTCCGATCTTGGCAGTACGAGGGTACTCAGTATGCTTTCCACATAAACGAGCTTACCATTGCTTGAGAAAGTTTGGAAAGAAGCTAGCAAGGGTGATCAAAACAAATTAAAAAAAAGCTAAGCAAACTATGTTACAGGAAAGCCAATATCTTTCAAAATGAAAGCAGAAAATAAAGTTTGCACTTTATCCAAGTCCCTAGACAGCATCATCAAGCATGAGTAGTTTAAAAAAAAAAATAGTCATTCCAAACTTGAGAAAGTATGATTTAAAAGATTGACATATTTTCCAATCCCTCCATTCATATCCTTCTGCAATTAACATACCATCTGCCAACTTCCAGCCTGGATTAAGAAAAGGTCACTAGATTTAAGTCACAAAGATTTGAACATCATTTATACTGTGTATTTTACAGTAATAGATGGATTTGACGCAAATAATTGAGCCATCTAGATTCCCACCCAGGCTGAGAACCGAGCCTACTATAATCATTCATGAAATTTAAATGAGGATCAAAATATCCAAATTATAACATGTTTTTGCCATTTAGCCGTGTCAGATTGCTCTAATTTGCTGGCATCAAGTAGTCCAAAAGGATAAATATTACACAAATTATTATACATTAATCAGCTGCAAAACTTGTTCAATTATTTTAAAGATAATGCATGTTCATCTAGCAAACTCAAATTTAATGCTTAAGGTTTCAACTGATAGACCTTTCAAGGCACTATGGAAGAGGTCATTTGGGTATGATTTACATGATGGGTAAGCAAAACTAATTTCAAATCAACAAATGATTGGAACTATAACCTAGTGCTAAAACGTAATTGAGGAACAAATAAAGCAAAAATGAATGGTTAGACCAATCAAGCTCAAGTTCATCCAGCAGATTTAGTTATACCAGCAAATTAACTATGATTTATTGCATGCAGATTAAGAATGATTTATTGCATAAGCTTAATATATGCCACATTTAAAATCATAATAAAATCTTATGCATTTAATGACGTTCTACATCAACATTATTTATACTAGCAAATTTATTGCAGCTTGTTGCAGCACACATAGTAAAAGATTATAACATCGTTTTCACTATCAGTCACTTATTGTAGAAGTACATAAAAGAGTATTTTAAAAAAGAAAATTGAAGAAAACAAACATCATGACCATCATTATCATTAACCCTATCCTAACTGCTTACATCAACTTTATGAATCTTCATTTTTTATTCATTCTAATTGATATTCACAAATCATTAAGAACAACTTTTATCCATACCTTAGGCCTCCCCTTATTCCTTCATAATCCTCCAACAATAATTTGATCTACTCATCCAATAGGATGAATTTCCACCCTTCAATATACATGTCCAAAATAACTTAAATATATTTTTAGCTACATTGTCTTCAATATATATCACTCCTATTATTCTTTCATATAATTATTCCTTAAATATTATCCACTAATTTTTCCTGCACATCCATCTTAACATCACATTTCCATCATGTTCAACTTAGCTATCAAATACACACGCACACACAAACTTAGTGTCAAACACTTGCATCCGTACAACACAATAGCCTTAATTGCAATTTTATAATATTTTTCTTTAAGTCAACATGATATTATTATATCACATAATCATTTGATTCTTGAGGAACTTAACCATTTTAACCATGCAACGTTAACTATAAAATTATATTCTCATTTAAATTTTCGTTCTTCTATATGTTTAAACCGATCATACCTAGGCTAAGAAGTACGAACACTCCAAAATGCCTCCCATATTTGTGCCAGACACAAACCTAGCTCCTACACACCCCAACATGCATCCAACACTTCATAAAATGTAACTTGGGATTTTAAATATGGAATTAGGATTCAAACACGTGTTGGACAGAGGAGACACGGCTAGACATGTGGGACACAAACTAGACATGGCAGTTGGAATAACGAAATTCAAAATAAATTCTAATTTGCATATATACCGTAGCTCTAACTCACGTGTGCATACCCTTAGCCCTAGCTATCTTGATCTCACACTCCCACGGCTCCCCTTTATCTAAGCCTATCGACATCTCGAACTCTCACCTTTACATCGAAGTTGCTCACCATCTCAATAAGCACAAAATGTGCAATCTTCTTCCCTATTATTTGGTTTAGCTAATATTCTCATTCTTTATGAATTAAAAATGTTTCAGTTTTAGTAACATATTTTAGTAAAGTATAATTAAATTTTAAGAATACAATATTTAAATTTTTAGAAAATTAAAATAAAATCCATTCAATAAAAAAACAACATATAAATTGAAAGAAATTAATTATACTTTTATTTTGTGATGCCTTCAGTAGAAACTAGCATCAATAATATATTTCAGATTAATAATTTGTAAAATATAACGTGCCCACAATATGTCGGGTCTACCTTTTTACAATTGTGACATGTCGCTATGTCTGTATCATGTTGTGTCTATGTTCCCATATTCGTGGGCATGCTTCATAGTGCATATGTATTACTTTTTCAAATAATAATGATGATTGGTAATTATCAATATCACACTCAATAAAATTACATATCATACACTTGATTTATGTTTTTACTTAATCAAAAGCCTTTATCTTCTAAGCATTTTCTTCATTATTTTAACTTTAATTTATTTAAATAGATGTTTCAATAATTTAAACTCACATCTGCAAAAGACATAAACCAATCACTTTGAATATCAAAGTATCCCCAAAACCAACACAAAATTATAATGACTCAACAACGATGATTAATATAATCCCCTCTTATATTGAAAATCTTTAGTCACTTTATAATTACTTCTAATACTAGTCAATACCCTATCAAACATACATTTAGAAAATTTAACATGAATGTAGCATGGACCTTTCTTCCTTAATTGCAGCAAATCAGTTCCTGTGGTACTCAATCATATGGTTTCTTAAGATTAATAAAAATCATATGAAGACCTTTCTTTATTCTCTCTACTTTTTTCCTCAATGCAAAAATTGTTTCTATAGTATCTCTTTCTAGCATTTAGCTAGATCAATTCTTCAAAACTAACATAACTTTTCTAAGTCACAATGTTCCATTACCCTCTCCTATAGCTTTATTATATGGTACATAAGTTTAATTCCTCCATAATTAATATAATCTCGAACATTTCCTTTGTTAAATATTAATATCAAAATATTTTTTAATTATTTTACATCATCTTAGTATCCTTAATGCATCTTTTTTAAAGCTAATTTCACTTATCTTTTTTAAATCAATCCATAAAATACTTCATTAATTTGTTCATTATACTCTTCTAAAATAATTTTTTTTTTTAAATTCTCATTTAATTTTTTTTTTCTAAGTAATATTTCCAAAACTAATGAAATGAATCCATATAGAGAAAAAACAATAACACAAAATACTAAAGATAATCCAAATAAAGTTCCACCGGATTAGCAAAAATCGGTACTCATTCAGTGGAGTAGTAAAGAAGGTTATGCGCAAGGAAAACTTTGTAAGTGCCATGTTAGAAAACATGTTTTTCAAATTGTTGAAATTATTAGCTTCCGTCATTTGATTGGATGTTTTGAGGAATCAATTATGATTATAAACTCTAAAAACACCTTCAAAGCTCCTCAAATATCACATTTCATTTTAAAATTTAAAATAAATGAAGATGAAATTAGTTATGATTTTGGAGCGACTAATGAATGTGATAAAACCATATTAAATTTTACTCTAGCTTATAATTTTGTAATTGCCAATACCTTATTTAAGAAAATAGATAAGCATCTCATCACTTATATGATTATTTTTCTTATAAAAAAATAGATTATTTCAGTTGCAAATATTGCAAAGTTATTATGAGTGAAAGTTTATGTACCAAACATCGCTTATTAGTTTTAGAATTTAAGATGAAAGGATATAATAAGAAAAATAAAGTAAAACATTGTTCTAGGATAAGATGGGAGCATTTAAAGAATACTAATAAATATATTTTTGAGAGTAAGATTCCAGATCTTAAGATTTTATCTGTGTATAAGAAAACTAGTGCTATGTGAGAAAAAAATAGCTAGTGATATTAAGAATGTTGCAAAGGATGTGCTTGAAGTATCAAAAGGAAAAACTCCTAATAGTAAAAATAGTTAGTGGTGGAATCAAAATGTGCAAAAAGAGATTAAAAATAAGAAGCTTTGCTATAAAAATTGGTTCGATTTAAAAACTTTGAAAATTACGAAAGGTATAAAGAGACTCGTAAGGAGCCTAAAAATAATATGCGACGCAAAGAACATAGTTTTAAATGATTTGTATAATGGATTAGATACTAAGAGGGCAAAAGATATATGCATAAACTAGCCAAACAAAGAGATAAGAGTATCAAGGATTTAATTTAAGTAAAGTGCATTAAGGATGAAGATCAAAAAGTGTTTTTATTAGAATAGAATATTCAATAAAAGTGGATGAGATATTTTACTAAGCTTTTCGATGAAGATTGTGAGAATTAATACAATTGACTTTAATAACTTTAACACCCTAAATGAAAAGAAAAAAATTTTTTTTTATCCATATATTAGTAAAATTGAAGTTAGAGAGGCTTTAAAGAAAATGAAGTTTTGAAAAGCTGTTGGACTTGATGATAATCTAGTAAAAGAGTGGAAATGCGAAGGAGATGAAGAAGATTTAGTTCA